GGGGTTGCTCTTCTTGAGGAATATCTTTGTGGTTTCTCTGTATTTCCTGGACTTGAATGTTGGAACACCTTGCTAGGTTGGGGAAGTTCTCCTGGATAATATCTTGAAGAATGTTTTCTAGCTTGGATTCATTCTCTCCATCACATTCAGGTACACCTATCAAATGTAGATTAGGTCTTTTCACATAATCCCATATTTCTTGGAGGCTTTGTTCATTTCTTTTCACTCTTTTTTCTCTAATCTTGCCTTCTCATTTTATTTCATTGAGTTGATCTTCAATCTCTGATATCCTTTCTTCTGCTTGGTCAATTCGGCTATTGAAAGTTGTGTATGCTTTGTGAAGTTCTCGTGTTGTGTTTTTCAGCTCCATGAGGTCATTTATATTCTTCTCTAAGCTGTTTATTCTCGTTAGCATTTTGTCAAACCCTTTTTCAGGATTCTTAGTTTCTTTGCATTGGGTTAGAATATGTTCTTTTAGCTCAGAGAAGTTTGTTATTACCTACCCTCTGAAGACTGTTTCTGTCATTTTATCAGACTCATTCTCCATCCAGCTTTGTTCCTTTGCTGGTGAGGAGTTGTGATCCCTTGGAGGAGGAGAGGCATTCTTGTTTTGGGTATTTTCGTTTTTGTGCTGGTTTCTTCCCATCTTTGTGGATTTATCTACTTGTGGTCTTTGTAGTTGGTGACTTTCTGATGGGGTCTCTACATGGATGTCCCTTGGTTGATGAAGAAGTTATTATTTTCTGGGTTTTTTTGTTTGTTTTCCTTCTAACAGTCAGGCCCCTCTGCTGTAGGCCTTCTGGAGGTCCATTCCAGACCTGCTTGCCTGGGAATCACCTGCTGCAGCTGCAGAACAGTAAGGGTTTCTGCCCATTTCTTCTTCTGTTATCTTAGTCCCAGAAGGATACCTGCCAGATGTCATCCTGAGCTTTCCTTTGCAAGGTGTCTCTTTGGATATATGAGGATCAAGGTAAGGAGACATTCTGACCCTTTTAGGAGCTCAAGTGCTGAGCTGTGAGCTCCATTGTTTTGTTCAGAGCTGCCAGGCAGGTACGTTTAAGTCTACTGCAGTAGAACTCATAACTGCATTTTTTCCCAGGTGCTCTGTCCTGGGAAGGTGGGGCTTTATTATAAGTTCCTGACGTGCTTCTGCATTCTTTCAGAGATGCTCTGCCCAGCTAGGAGGTAGCCTAGTCACAGTCTGCCAGCAGAAGCATTGCTGAGCTGCCATGGGCTCTGCCCAGCTGCTGTGTGAACTTCCTTGTGGTTTTATTTCAGTCCCCTTTTTTTCAGTTGAATGGGTGGCTCTGTATCTAAGGCATTCCAGGCACCAGTTGAAACGGCCACCCAGATTTGTGTGAGTTTTTGTGCGGAGACCCAATGCACTGGCTGAAACAGCCATGCTGGAAACTCATGGCACTTTTCAGCTTGGGAATCTCCTGGTCTGTCAGCAGTTATAACTTGTTTGGAAATATGGTGATCACTCACCCTCTGCGTTGTTCTCGCTGGGAACTGCACTCCATAGCTGTTCCTATTCGGCCATCTTGGATCCACCCCTTTCCATATTCTTATCAGTGTAAGTATATAATGTCTGTTTCTTTTTGACTTTTATTTTATGTAACATAATGTTCTCAGGCTTTTTGTGAGATGTAGTCATAATAAATGAGTTTATTCTGTGTTCTTAGTTCTTACAATTTAGCCCAGATATTTGCCCTGACATACCTGGACAAGCCCACACAAGCCTTAGATCATAGTTTATTCTTCTTCCTGATTTGGAAGTGGTTTTGCCTCTCTAAGCATTCCTCAAGTTACTTCCTCTTTTCCTTTGTTCTCTGCCTTTACCTCTTTAGGAAAGTTTTGAGTTTTTAGCTAACTGGGTGTAGCCTAGACTGTGAGGTCTAGTTCCAGCCAGTGGAATCAGGATGCAGCGGTAGGGCCATGCATTAGATATAAATAGCCTTGCCTCTGTTTGGTGTGCTCTGCTGGTGAGGGGCCCCCTTTCTTCAAAAGTAAAGTTGCCTTGCTGAGAAACCTTTTGTCAGAATGCTGATTCTTCCTTGAATTATCAGAATAGGCATTTATTTCCAATGTATTATAATTGTGTATGACAGTATTCAACTGTGTGCACTGTAAGACTGTGGAGCATGGCTGGGTGTGATGGCTTATGCCTGTAATCCCAGTACTTTGGGAGGCTGAGGCAGGTGGATCACTTGAGGTCAGGAGTTCAAGACGAGCCTAGCCAACATTGTGAAATCCTGTCTCTACTAAAAATACAAAAATTAGCTGAGTGTAGTGGTGGGGCACCTGTAATACCAGCTACTCAAGGAGGCTGAGGCAAGAGAATCACTTGAACCTGGGAGGTGGAGGTTGCAGTGAGCCAAGATCATGCCACTGGCATTCCAGTCTGGGCAACAGAGCGAGACTCCATCTCAAGAAAAAAAGAAACAAAGACTGTGGAGCACAAGTTAAAAATGGATCTGTGATAATGTCTGGTTCCAGTATAAAAATCTGTTTATCTGTATGCATATGTTCCTGTATAGTTTATGAGTGGTATACTTGTTCTGTTTATGTGCATACAATGGTGGTTTTACCCTACCTAGGTGAGTAGTCATTGAAATTCTCCTAATTTTATCCTCTATTCATTTGTAAATCTATATTTTTGTGTGTGGGGGAGAAACGCTTTTGTGATTTGAGAATAATTTCAAAAGCTGTGATACCTCTATCTATTTTAGATATTTTAATTGTCAAAAACACAAACTTCACAATCTTAAATATTTTTAAATATTGTTTAGTCATTTTATGTTGACATTGTTATGCACCATATCTGTAGAATATGTTTATCTTGTACAGCTAACACTCAATACGCATTAAACAACTACCTACATTTTCTGTTTTCTGGCCCTTTACAAAAACAATTCTGTTTTCTATTTAGAGTCAAACTGCTTTTGATGTCTCAGGTAAGTTGATTCATACAATATCTGTGTTTTCATGGCTGACTTATTTCATGTCGCATAATGTCATCAAGATTTATCTTTATTATACTTGGTACAATATACTTTTTATGAACGGTAATACTTCATTATTTTAATATTTCAAATTTATTGATTTGGTGAGAGAAGTTTGCATTGCTTTCACTTATTTGCTTTCAGTAACAATGCTACAATAATTACGACTGTACTAAAATTAGTCTTCATGTGACCATGTGTATGAAAGTGTATATTTTTGCTGGATTTTATTTTATTGGTCTAGCTGTTCAAGTTTATACCCATACCAAATTGTTTTAATTCTTTAGGTTTGTATGTGTTTTGAAATCATGAGCCTTCAACATTGTTTCATGTTTTAAAAATTGTTGGGTGCTTTATTGTCCCTTGAAATTCCATATAACTGTTGGGTTGCTATTTCTATTTCTGCAAAAGAAAATTGATTAGAAATTGGACAGGGATTTCATTTAATCTGTAGATTACATTGAGTAGTCTAGACAGCTTCATAATATTATTTCATAATTGGAACAAGATCATGCTGAACACTGTATTTTTATTGCCTGGCTGGAGTGCAAATCGCATGATCTCAGCTCACTGCAACCTCCACATCCTGAGTTGAAGCCATTCTCCTGCCTCAGCCTCCTGAGTAGCTGGGACTACAGGTGGGCACCACCATGCCCAGCTAATTTTTGCATTTTTTGTAGAGACAGGGTTTCACCATGTTGGTCAGGCTGGTCTCGAACTCTACCTCAGGTGATCCACCCGCCTCCCAAAGTGCTGGGATTACAGGCATAAACCATCACGCCCAGCATCTTTTTTTATTTTTATATTGATAGGACCCCTTATAGTTTTGTGTATCTATACAAATACTTTGTAGTATCTTGAGAATTAAATAAAATTTCTTAATGTTAAAATAATGTATTTTAAACTGCCAAAAATGGTTGCATTTTAAATTCTTCCTCATTACATTTGCCCTCAACTTTGTTATTGATGTCACTAATCATATTTTATGTTGTATATTAACAGATTATGATTAAGTTTGATTATTTTTATGCTTTTATCTTTAAAATTTTAGAGATTAAAATGTTTTCTGCACTATTATAATGGTACAGAACCTTATGTTTGTGTATGTGCAAATCTTTTTCAGAAAGTTATTTATTTTCATATGATTATGTTTTATTTATGTGTTCCCATTTAACTCATTGAGAATTATTCAGGTTAAATTTTTAAAAACTTGTACATCTTCATTTTTTGTGGTTTTCTGAAAATTTTAAAATTTGACCATGTTGTGCTAATATTTCAAATGAATTATAATATTTGCTTGCTATTTGAAGATTAACAAAAAGCTATTTGTTAGAATTTTACAACGTTGCTTTGTCCTGACATAGCAACCAGTTGTCTTTGATAGAGATTACGGGAGCCTCTCATACATGTTCTAAGGATGTGTCTTCTCTGGAATTTTATGTTTTTCAGTTAAAAGCATTTATTCACGTTTCTTAGTCTGCTCCTGAAACATTTACATTTTGTCTCAGCAAACCCAAGCTGTTCTTTCAAAGTATACTACTATTTCTTTCAGTACTCTGTATTATTGGAGACAGAAACCAGTTTTGGTAAAGACCACCAAAAGACAAAAGTAAGGATATGTGTGTCAGTATTTTTCTTCTTTTTAAAGAAAGAAGCCAAGAATTGGCAGTTTATTTCTGAAGACACAATGTTATATTGGGGAGGAGGAAGAGCTGTGTACATGTAACAAATGTCCCTTCTTGTTCTATTTTGCTCTTGGCATTGTGCATTACATACAATTAACTCATTTAGAGATTTTACACAAAGGCATTTTGAAGGAATTATGGCCTGTGGTATTTTGTTATGCCATTTTACTAATGTACTTTGTCTAAGTTTATTAGATTTGTAAAGTATATTCATATGAATCTAGTAAGTGGAATAATTTGTTATTTTTATTTCTTTCAGTGATGTGTTCTCATTTCACCCAAGACCTTTGGCCAGTGCAGGGCACAGACGATTCATTCCACAAACTTGCACTGAGAAGACAGGAGAAAAGTGGACATAAGAATTTACAATTAAGAAAAGGTTGTAAAAGTGTAGATGAGTGTAAGGTGCAGAAAGGAGGTTATAATGGACTTTACCAAGCTTGTCAACTACCCCCAGCAAGATAATTCAATGCAATACATGTGTCAAAGTTTTTAATAAATTTTCAAACTCATACAAACATAAGACAAGACATAGTGGAGAGAAACCATTTAGATGTAAAAAATGTGGCAGATCATTTCCCAGGTTTCTACAACTAACTCAACATAAGGGAATACATGCTGGAGAGAAACCCCTCACATGTGAAGAATGTGGTAAAATCTTTACCTCATCCTCAAGCTTTGACAAACATTAAGAGAATTCATACCAGAGAGAAACCCTACACATGTAAAGAATGTGGCAAAGCCTTTAATAGTTCTACAAGCCTTACTAAACATAAGGAAATTCATACTGGAGAGAAACCCTACCAATGTGAAGAATGTGGCAAGGCCTTTAGTCGGTCCTCGGCACTGAATGAACATAAGAAAATTCATACTGGAGAGAAACCATACACATGTGAAGAATGTGGCAAAGCCTTTAGACAGTCCAGAAGCCTGAATGAACATAAGAATATTCATACCGGGCCGGGCGCGGTGGCTCAAGCCTGTAATCCCAGCACTTTGGGAGGCCGAGGCGGGTGGATCATGAGGTCAAGAGATCAAGACCATCCTGGTCAACATGGTGAAACCCCGTCTCTACTAAAAATACAAAAAAAAAATTAGCTGGGCATGGTGGCGCGTGCCTGTAGTCCCAGCTACTCAGGAGGCTGAGGCAGGAGAATTGCCTGAACCCAGGAGGCGGAGGTTGCGGTGAGCCGAGATCGCGCCATTGCACTCCAGCCTGGGTAACAAGAGCGAAACTCCGTCTCAAAAAATAAATAAATAAATAAATAAATAAAGAATATTCATACTGGAGAGACCCTACACATGGGAAGAATGTGGCAAAGTTTTTTACCAATCATTAAACCTTACACAGGCGCACTCATTGTGAACAAAAACTTTACAAATGTGAAGAATGTGGCAAAATCTTTACTCAGTCCTCATCCCTTCATAAACATAAGAGAATTCATAGTGGTGAGAAACCCTACACATGTAAAGAATGTGGCAAAATCTTTTATAGGTCTTCACACCTTAGTGAACATAAGAGAATTCATTCTGGGCAAAAACCCTACAAATGTGAAGAATGCGGCAAAATCGTTAGTCCTCAGCATGAATAAACATAAGAAAATTCATACTGGAGAGAAACCATACAAATGTAAAGAATGTGGCAAAGCCTTTAATGAAAATTCATACTGGAAAGAAACACTGCACATGAGAAGAATGTGGTAAAGCTTTTACTTGGTCCTCAACCCTTACTGTACAAAGGAGAATTCATACAGGTGAGAAACATAGTTGAGAACATATTCGAATGACATTTTTTTTTATTGTTCCATATTCTTCATTTCTTAAAACTTTTGTAGACACATTTATGGCATATATGAGTTATTTGAATACAGGAATACACCACGTAATAATCCATTAAAGAGTTCTTCATCAAATATTTACTACAGATAGTTTTATGATTGTAATATTATATAATTATGATTCATTTCTGAATCATGAATGCTTTTAAAAATTTTCATATCTTTTAACATGTAACATATTTATCCTATAAATACATACAGACTTTGACTTTATTTACGTGAAGTTAAATATTTAAACATATTGCTCCAAAAATAAACCTTAAGAAAACTATGGAGCAAGCAATAGTGTTTGTATGAGAGTTTGTACCTGTTTTCCAAAGAAAATATCAATATTGGAACAAAGAAGATTCTTTTAATAAGGTGGATAATTTACTAGAAATCCAGAAACCTAAAATATTCTGAAATCAAATCTATGTTTCTTTGTAATCTAATATTGTTTTCACTTCAAGAAGTATTATGTGAGCTTAATGTGTTATAAAATTTCATACTGCACACAGAATTTTTAGATACAAGTTCATTTGTGTATTGTTATATTTTATCTATTTAGAACATTTCATTTTGTTGCTTTAATTGGAGAACCCTATATGAGCTGTTTTCTTTAGTTGTTCCTTTCACTTTTTAATTGACATAAATGAGTTTATGTATTGGGCCAATTTGTTAAGGTAAGTGCTGGGAAATCTTTGTAAGTCATGGATATATTTCAAAATGTAATTGTAGTGAACAAACAAAGTACTGGTTGTGTAATAGATGCTCTATAATTAGCCATATGCTTTCTGGAGTCAGTTTGTAGCTGCAAGTAAGAGATTGAAAATATCAATAGTGAAGAAATGGGATGAATTCTGCATGTGGAGAGGGCATCTGTTCCCCGACTGCAAAACTGACTCATTCTGAATTTAAAGAGATTTCTGTCTTTATTTTCTAATTATCTATAGTTTTATGATATCTTCACGTGTTTATCCACAGCTATGTATGTATCACAGCCTCTCTCCTTCTTTGTGTTATGCTGCAGTTTTCTCACTGTTCTCTTCATGCCATGTAATTTCACATGGACTTTCTAGGTTCTGATAAGTTTGAATTTTTTTAATGTGGTAAATTGTTCCTAACTGGGCTATTTGAGGTTATTTATAGTTTATCAACGCAGCATTTAGATTGCTTAATTTAGATAAGTATTTTACCGTTCACAGGTAAGAGAATTAAGTCAGCATTTTTTTTATGAAAGAAAATTTTTAAGTGTAAGTTAGAATAAGTAAAGAATTAATATGAGCGGGTTGCATATTGTCAGCACCATATGAAGAAACAGATCAGAATTTTGAAATTTCTTAAGAGTAAAATGTATCTTAGAGGTAAAAGTTTTAGGAGACAATGGTAGAGGAAGAATTGTACATTTAATTTTCTATGACATACTTACAGCAAAACTTATTTTTTCATGCAGAATCTTCTGTTTTTGAATGTGAATCTTAAGTGTTAGAATGGTATCTGTAGATTCAAAATTTAGAATGATCTTTTTTGTCCAGATTGATATTGTAATCCTGAGGAATTTCTCTTAGGATTTTTTGTTTTGGTGGATGCAGTTCATGGTCTACAGTTTTCATTCTTAGTCACCTAACTTTAACCAAGTCCTTCGTCACTTTCTTAGGAAAAATTTTGGAGAGTATGGCAGCTGTTATTTAACATTTTCTCAGTGATTTTTTTTTTTTTTTTTTTGAGACGGAATTTCGCTCGTTACCCAGGCTGGAGTGCAATGGCGCCATCTCGGCTCACCACAACCTCCGCCTCCCGGGTTTAGGCAATTCTCCTGCCCCAGCCTCCTGAGTCGCTGGGATTACAGGCACGTGCCACCATGCCCAGCTAATTTTTTGTATTTTTAGTAGAGTCGGGGTTTCACCATGTTGACCAGGATGGTCTCGATCTCTTGACCTCGTGATCCACCCTCCTCGGCCTCCCACAGTGCTGGGATTACAGGCTTGAGCCACCGCGCCTGGCCGATTTTTAATGCAAATTCATTTACTTTGTTCACACCATGGCCAGTTACCCTTTAGCGACAGTTACCCTTTTTTAGTGTCTTCCTCCAGGTGCTTCAAGCTGAAAGCAAAAGCCTTAGAGTACATCAACTTGTCTTATATAGTGTTCTGGGTCTCGGACATGCTAGTATTGCAGCTTCTGTGATTATATTACAAAACCAGTAGAAAAAGTATCTATTTTTTGTAATATTCAAGACAGACCAGCATTTGAAACGTTATTATCCTATGATGGTTTTTAAAATGCATTTTTAATTGACAGATATGGTGTTTTGAAATACATAGACATACTCTTAAAGGCTTAATTCTAGGTAATTAACCAATGCTTAAACTCAATAGTAATTATTTTTGTGAGAGCACACATAACACTGTCTTAGCATTTTTCAAAAATACAATTCATTGTTAAACTATAGTCACCATGCTGTGCAATAGACTAGCCATCAGTAATTATGTATTATTTTACAGACAGCTCTCCAAATGCTCCTTTTTTCAAAATACCCACGTATCTGGTAAGCAGCATTCTATGGTCTGGTTTATTTTCACTTAGCATAATGTCCTCCAAATTTATTCATATTGTTTCAAGTGACAATATTTCCTCACTTTTAATGTTGAATTGTATTTCCTTGTGTACACCACATTTTTAAAAAAACGAAATATCCATTTATTGGCTGGAAATTTTATTTAATTAAAAGATATTTCTGTATTAAAGCATGTATTAATGAAATTCGGCTTTTTTATTATTATTGTCCTTATTTTACAGAGAAAGAAACAGAGCCACAGAGAAAAATTACTTGGTCACAGTAGTGGAGCCAGTTTTAAAACACAGGCAACTTTGACTCCAGAGGAAACACTTTATTACAGTAAATACCCTCCTAAAACAAAATAATTGTCTTCGCCCATTCTTAGTACATTTTTGTTGTTATGTATGTGTGCGTGCAAATGTACAAAATATGATATCTATAAAGGAGAAATACTTCCTGAACTATGTAAACTCTAGAAATTGCCCTTTGATACTGACACGTACTGGGGAACACACTTTCCTTCAGCTGTCCTTCTGAGAGAATGTAGTATTCTCTCCAAGTTCACAAGGGGGCAAGGTTTCAAAGGCAAGAACTTCCCAGTACCATGCCTCTGCCCACCTCTCCCACCAGGGAGCTTAGAGGTCTTTAACTGTCACGCACAGGGAAAGATATCATGGAAGCTGCTTTTCTTTCTCCTTTTTCTCTCTCTCTCTGCCTAAATAAATCACTTTCTGCAAAATTCTTTGGGATTCAATATTTACTTATGAGCCCACTGCATCTGGCAAGGTCCTCTCCCCCATTCTTGGGTGAGTGAGGGACCAAGGGCCTGGAAGAACACAGCCCACCAGGGAGCAACCTGAGCCCATCATCTGCAATTTGGTCACCATTCCCCACCCCTCCAGCAGTTCAGAATATAGCACAATTTTTATCTTAACCTGTAGTCAGCAAATGCTATAATGGTATTAATCAAATATTTACTACAAATGCAAGCAGTATACTATGATTTAATTGCCTTTCTAATACAAATTTCTTAATTATTTCACTCTACATTAGTTTTCTTTGTGTCTGTTTCTCAGTTTTGCCTAGTACTACCAATTACCTTACAGTTGCTTTCCAAATCATTTGTTTATAAAACTATCCCTGGGAAGTTCAGCTCAGCAGTCTAGAGCACATAGTCCTGACCAGGGAGTTAGTTACTATTTATACAGATACCAAATATGCCTTTTTAGTATTTCACAATTATGCCATCATTTGGAAAGAAAAACGATTTTTCTTTTTTTGAGATGGAGTTTCACTTTTGTTTCCCAGGCTGAAGTGCAATGGCATGATTTTTGCTCACCACAACCTCCACCTCCCAGGTTCAAGCAATTCTCCTGCCTCAGCCTCCCAAGCAGCTGGGTTCGTTTCTTCTTGCTGAACTGGCTGAATTAAGGGGAGTAGCTTAAGGCCTTGAGGATTATTATAGACACAGATGGACAGGCTTTACAAACTTGTCAAAAAAAAAGAGGGTTTTTTTGTTTTTTGTTTTTGTTTGTTTACAGCTGATGGAGATGGTCTCTCCCAAAGAGACAAGAATTATGGAGTGCCCTTATTTCTGCTGGAGTACCTGAGGAAAACAAAGAACATCTCCCAGTTTATACAGTCTTTCAGGTCCCAGGGTATATTCACGTTTGAGAACCCATTTCTTTTTCTCTTGGGCATATTGCAGGGTGGGCAGGTTGTTAGGCAAAATTGGGATAAGGGCCATAAGGAGTTCCCCAGAAAGGGTGGTGGCCCTAGCTGCTTGGCCAACCCTCTGTTTCTCTAGGTAATCTCATATTGGCATTTCTGGTAACCCTAGCAATGAACTACAGTTTTCTGTGGTAGGTGGATAGCCTGGAGTAGGTTAAAACTCTGACCCATATTTAATAGGGGTATCCTTTGCTGTCAACAATCCTTTTTCAGCTGAGTGTGGTGGCTCACACCTGCAATCCCAGCACTTGGGAAGCTGAGGCAGGAGGATCACCCAAGGTCAGGAGTTAGGGAGACCAGCCTGACCAACATGGAGAAATCCCACTAAAAATACAAAATTAGCCAAGCATGGTGGCACATGCCTGTAATCATAAGGTTACACATAATCCTGCTGCTGGAACCCCAAATGCCCTTGGCTCATGAGCTCTCTCGTGGACCTCAGGATCAACCTGCACCCACAGCGCCCCTTCTTTGCCCAATTTCAGCAGGAAGTAAATAGCGATCAATGCCCATGTTCCAACAGGAGTTGAACTTTCCTGTTGAGAGGGGGGAATGAGGGAATTGTTCTCTTTCTGGGTCCACAAGGGGGTGTAGTTTTAAGGGCAAAAAACTTCCCAGAGCCATACCCCCCTCCCATGCCTCTCCTTCCAGGAGTTTTAACAGTTTCTGTTTTAATTTTCGCAGGCATGGGAAAAGGTGAAAAGTCAACCACTGTAGCGGAAGTTTAAGGGAACTCTTTTCATTGGCCAGGGGGTTGGAGAAGGTGGGAATTCCTCCCATATTAAAGGTCCCTGTCTCCCTCGTTCAGGTGGACTTGCCTCTCTGGGGTCCCCTTACACACTTGTGGAAGCTGCTTTTCCTCTCCTGGATTCCATACTTGGGTCCCCTTCCACACTCCCTTTGTGGAAGCTGTCTTTCCTCTCTGGGATTTCCCCCCTGGGGTCCCCTTCCACACTCTTCATGGAAGCTTTCCCATCTCCTTTTTCTCTTTCTCTAAGTAAATCACTTCTCTGCCAAAAAAAAATTTTTTTTTTGGTATATAAAAATTTATTAAACATAAGAATATTACCACTAACAAAATTCTTCATATATAAAGAATATTGCCACTAACAAATGCAGACAGGCTAGGACACCATGGTACTGGGTGGAGGACGGGTAGCTCTTTGGAAAGTGAAAGGTTTGGGTGATGTAGGCCTCATGCCACACTGATTAGTCAGTAGATGGGAGGGCACATGCCAAATGCCACAGGGCATCAGGTGCCTGCTCTGAGTGCCCACAAGTGCTCCCTGTCTCATCTGGGCCTTCAAAGGGCGCACACCCAGAAGTGAGCAGCTGAAGCAAAAGGGCTTCCTAAGGTGCGCAGGCTTGTCTCAAGTCACAGCAACACCATTTTAAGCAATAAGTTTAATTGGATGATTTCCACAAACTATCCACAGAGTTTCTAACCATAACAATTCAGTGAAGTACAAAACATTAAATTACAGGCTGTGGGAGGAGAAGTCAGCACCAATGGTGTCACCTTCCAATCCTGGTGGTTCTAGGGGCAGGGAGAGGGGAAGGTCTTTTTTTTTAAACCAAGCCCCTCATTTCAATGTACAAAAGAATTACTCTGATCAATATTAAATTGTATTGAAAACAAAATGGTCTAAAAAGCAAATAGTACTCTATGTTGGGATGGAAATGGGAAGAAAGGATGAGTCATTTGAAGCAGGAAGGGAGACAGCAGGGGGAAGGTTCTGCGCCTGTGACCCTGGGTGGTCACTCACGCTGCTCCATTTTTACATTTGGTGGTCTCAGGAAAGTCCGATTTTTCTTCTTTCTTCCCCTTTGTGTGGCTTGGGAATTTTGCCAGCTGTCCACACAAACATCTCAACTTTTCTCAAAGTTTTTCTGCCACTTTCTCGTTTGGCTTTTTCTTGAGCTTCAATCTCTTCCTTTGTCGTTTCCTCTTTGGCTTCTCTCTCTTTCCGTTTAATTTCCAGCTCAGCAAAGAGTTTCATTGTCTGTTTATATACAGCTTGTTTGAACAGCTCAGGATCATCCTCCTCTACAATAGTAGGTTTTCCTTCCCTCTTTTGTTTTTTTTTTTTGCTCTTTCACACTGTTTCACATATTATTTTCTTGCCTGAATTACATATCAGTGGGAATAATGGTAGGTAGACTTCACTTAATTGTCAGCCTATCAAGGCTACAAATGCCCTTTACTGCCTGGGTTGAAGCCTCTCATACCAGAATAGAAAAAATACAAGGAGTTGAGAAAAAAGATACAAGATAATTCTGAAAGAAATTATCTTTTTGGGTTTCCATGGTCTTCACAAGGTAACAATGGCCCATATTTTATTTTACAAACTACATAAACAGTGGCAAAAGCCCTAGGGATAAAATACTCTTCACACTCCTGAAAACCACAACCTTCTAGGAAGGTAGGAGGGACTAATTGAGCTATTAAAAGGAACTTGAGCAAATGATGCCAGGATACCTCTTTACCATGGCTAAAACTTCTTGCCCATGGCACTTCTGATCAGAACAGCCCCTAAATTATATCTATGCCTTAGTTTCTTTGAAGTCCTATATTGGAGATCCTACATGCAAACCTAATAACCCACATGCAAAGCAAATTAACCCAGTACATAAAATCCCTGACTCAATTTCAAGAGGCCATCCAGGAATTTGGACAAACAATTCGGAGTTGGCTCCCCTAACAACCCTTATAACCAGGCAGGGTGACAAGTCCTCATTAAAATCTGGTGAGATGCATCTCTCGGATCTCAACTAACCTCGTTACAAAAGAACAATTTTACTATCGTACTTTCCACCCCAATAGTTATCAAGTTTTCTGGCATCTCTAGCGGGATACATTACTTTTGAATACAACTAGAAACATGGTGATGGAGCCAACACTCAGCCACAGGAGGACTTAAAAATTTCTCTCAAAACGAGAAGATAAGTAATGCTCTCCCTCCTTTTACCTCAAAATAGGGTAATCCCAATACTGGCAATCTTATTTGCATTGGTACTGCTGATTCTTATTTTTATCCTAACTTGCACACCACCAGGATCTCCATTAAGAGCTTGCTTTATCTAATACTAATTTTTTTAACCTAATTTAGTTATTTTATTTTTGACTGCTTTAGGCCATCAGCAATGTTAGTAATATTTTGGTGTTAATATTACAACTCATAATACTCTGCACATTTACTAATGTCTTTGTTACTGTAAACCAATACTCACTCCAGGGAAGAGTTTGCTATGTCCCTCCTTAACATCAAAGCCATAATCTGAGCAGTGATCTCTAATACTCATTGGGTTAACAGTTTCTCTTCCTAATCAAAAAGCATCTCAATTTGGTACTATTCTACTTCCCTTGGAACCATGCAACCTAATGTTCTATGGTCATCACTCATACTTCT